TCCTGTCTCAGCCTCCCGAGTAGCTGGGACTACAGGCGCCCGCCACCATGCCTTGCTAATTTTTTGTAATTTTCGTAGAGACAGGGTTTCACTGTGTTAGCCAGGATGGTCTCGATCTCCTGACCTCATGATTTGCCCACCTTGGTCTCCCAAAGTGCTGGGATTACAGGCGTGAGCCATTGTGCCTGGCCAGTCAATTGATTTTCAACAAGGGTGTCAAAGCCAACAGAGTGGAAATAACAGTCTCTTAAACAAATGGTCCTGGGGAAACTGGAAGGTCACAGGCAAAATAATGAAGCTAGCTCATTACCTTATAACATATACAAAAATTCAAAGTGGGTCAATGGTCTAAATTTATGAGCAAAAACTACTAGTCTCTTAGAAGTAAACATACGTGAAAATCTTCATGACCTTGAATTAGGCATGTGGTATTTTAAGTTTGACACCAAAAGCAGGCAAAAAGAGAAAAAATAGCTAAATTGGGCATCGTCAAAATTAGAAACTGTTGTATATCAAAGGCATTTCTCCCACAGAATGAGAGAAAACGTTTGCAAATCACATATCTGATGAGGGATCAATATCCAGAAGACACGGCAAACTCCTGTAATTTAACAACAACAAAACAAACAACCCACTCCAAAAATGGGCAAATAACTTGAATAGCCATTTTCCAAAGAAGATACACAAATGGCCAATAAACACATAAAAAGATGCTCAACATCATTAGTCATTAGGCAAATGCAAAAAACCACTATTCACACTTCTTAGAATGGCTATTTTTTTTTTTTTTTTTTGAGACAGAGTCTCGCTCTGTCGCCCAGGCTGGAGCGCAGTGGCGCGATCTTGGCTCACTGCAAGCTCCACCTCCTGGGTTCACGCCATTCTCCTGCCTCAGCCTCCTGAGTAGCTGGGACTACAGGCGCCCACCATCACGCCCAGCTAATTTTTTGTGTTTGTAGTAGAGACGGGGTTTCACTGTGAAACCCCATCTGTGTGTTAGCCAGGTGGTCTTGATCTCCTGACCTCATGATCCGCCTGCCTCGGCCTCCCAAAGTGCTGGGATTACAGGCGTGAGCCACCATGTCCAGCCTTTTTTTTTCTTTTTTTGAGACAAAGTCTTGCTCTGTCACCCAGGCTGGAGTGCAGTGGTGCGATCTCGGATTACTGCAACCTCAACCTACCAAGTTCAAGCAATTCTCCTGCCTCAGCCTCCCTACTAGCTGGGATTATAGTGCCTGCCACCAAACCTGGCTAATTTTTGCATTTTTAGTAGAGATGGGGTTTTGCCATGTGGGCCAGGCTGGTCACGAACTCCTGACCTCAGGTGATCTGCCCACCTTGGCCTCCCAAAGTGCTGGGATTACAGGTGTGAGCCACCATGCCCAGTCAGAATGGCTTTTTTTTTTTTTTTTTTTTTTTTTAAAGAAAAATAACAGATGTTGGTGAGGATGAAGGAAATTGAAACCCTCATACATTGCTGGTGGGAAGGTAAGATGGTATAGCTGCTACATGTCCATTTTTTGCTGCTATAATGGAATACCACAGGCTGGGTAATTTGTAATAAATTGAAATTTATTGGCTCACAATTCTGAAGGCTGGAAAGTCCAAGACTGAGGGGCCAGCATCTGGCAAGAACCTTCTTGCTGTATCATCATCCCATGGCAGAAAGCAGAAATGCCATAGAGGGTGAAAGACAGAGCAAGGGAGGGTGGAACTTGTCCTTTTACATGGTATGTACTCTTGTGATAACTAACCCATTCCTGTGATAACCATATTAATCTCTTAATGAGGGCACAATTTCCATGACCCAAACACCTCCACTAGGCCCTGCCTCCTAACATGACGACCACATTGGGAATCAAATTTCCAGCACATGAAACTTGAGGACACATTTAAACCATAGCAATGGGTATAGAGTTTCTGTTTCAGTTTTTTTTTTTTTTTTTTTTTTTTTTTGAGATGGAGTCTCGCCCTGTTACCCAGGCTGGAATGCAATGGTGCAATATCGGCTCACTGCAACCTTTGCCTCCCTGGTTCAAGTGATTCTCTTGCCTCAGCCTCCTCAGTAGCTGGGATTACAGGCATGTGCTACCATGCCTGGCTAATTTTTTGTATTTTTAGTAGAGATGGGGTTTCACCATGTTGGTCAGGCTGGTCTCGAACTCCTGACCTCATGCTCTGCCTGCCTCAGCCTCCCAAAGTGCTGGGATTACAGTCGTGAGCCACTGTGCCTGCCCGTTTCAGTTGATTGAAAAGTTCTGGGCCGGGCGCGGTGGCTCACGGCTATAATCCCAGCACTTTGGGAGGCCGAGATGGGTGGATCACGAGGTCAGGAGATCGAGCCCATCCTGGCTAACACGGTGAAACCCCATCTCTACTAAAAATACAAAAATTAGCCGGGCGTGGTGGCGGGCGCCTGTAGTCCCAGCTACTCGGGAGGCTGAGGCAGGAGAATGGCGTGAACCCAGGAGGTGGAGCTTGCAGTGAGTGGAGATAGCGCCACCGCACTCCAGCCTGGGCGACAGAGCGAGACTCCGTCTCAAAAAAAAAAAAAAGTTCTGGAGGCCAAGTGCCTCAATCTCAGCACTTTGGGTGGTCAAGGCAAGTGGAATTGCTTGAGGTTAGAAGTTCAAGACCAGCCTGGCCAACATGGTGAAACCCCGTCTCTACTAAAAGTTTTTAAAAAATTAGCTGAGTATGGTGGCATGAGCCTGTAGTTCCAGCTAGTTGGGAGACTGAGGTGGGAGGACGTTTGAGCCTGGCGGGCAGAGGTGGCAGTGAGCTGAGGTTGCACTACTGCACTCCAGCCTGGAGTTCTGAAAATAAATAGTGGTGATGTTTACATACAACTGTGAATGTTTTGAATGCCCTTAAATTGTACAATTAAATAGAGTGAAAAATGGGCCAGGTATTGTGGCTCATGCCTGTAATTTCAACACTTTGCGAGGCTGAGGTGGGAGGATCACTTGAGGCCAGGAGTTCCAGACCAGCCTAGGCAACATAGTTACACCCTGTTCCTACAAAAACTTAAAACATGAGCCGAGTGTGGTGACGCATGCCTGTAGTCTCAGCTACTCGGGAGGCTGAGGCGGGAGGATCGCTTGAGGCCAAGAGTTCAAGGTTTCAGTGAGCTATGATTATACCACAGCAGTTCAGCTTGGGTGACACAGCGAGACTTTGTCTCTAAATAAATAGTAGAAATGGAAATTTTATGTTAAGTGTATTTTACCACCACCACAAAAAAGCTAAAGCCAAGGCCCAGGGAAGTCCTCTTTAGCAAAGAGCTGAGACGGAGAAAAGGGTTCTGAACCACAGCTGTCTGCTGAAGGAAGCTGTGCAAATGCCAGTGAAGTCTCTCCTGAGGGTACCAGGGCTGTGCGTCGGGAGTGAAGGTTGAGGGTCGCCTCAGGTGTGAGAAGGAGCAACCGGGAGAGTGGCACTGATGCTTCCCCCCGGGTTAGGAGGCATTCGGATCACAGAGCGATGCCTGTTCATTCCTGCTTGCAAGGGAGCAGATCTCTCGACACCCGGTGGGTCTCCGTTCCGGCAGCTGTCCGTGTCAGGAGCGCTGGGCCTGCTCCTCCCCATGGAGCCATCACAGAGGCCTCGGGCAGTCTGCATAGACCACTGCCTGGCCGGTGATCAGGAGGGATGAATGAGCAGATGCAGGCAGCACTTGCAGTCCCCCTCACTGTACCCTCAGCACCTGCTGTCTAGGAGGCAGAAGCCTTGTCTCAGCCTCGCAGGTGACCCCGCTGTCTCTGAATGCAACCCCATATGTGTAGGAGGCGGGTGATTGCATCTGAAGATGGGAGAAGAGTTGGGGGTTTGCGAAGCTCCCATCACCCCTCAAGAGCCCACTGACCGGCCCAGCTCCCGCCAGGTGGGCCTTGGCATTGGAGGCCACGGCTCAACTCTGCAGTTCCCTCTGGGCAGCATTTCCAGGGACTCGTAGATCCCCATGGTCCTCAAGGAGGGGTGGTGAGAGCAGTTCCTCATTGTCGTGGTGACCCTGATGGTTCATTTTCTGGTGTCTCTGTGGCGAGCTCCTGTTACGTCAAGTGAGTGAAAACCACCGAGAACCAGCAGCCCCAGAAATGCACCGAGAATAAATACAGGATAAGTGGGGTTTGTGAGGACTGTTTTCTGTGTCTTAGCAAGGACAGCCTAGAGGGGAAGGTAAAACTGCTTCCCAGGGAAGCCAGAAGCCTGAGAACTTAAAAGGGAAGGAGAACTTAATACATTTCAAAAATGTAACCCTCATGAATTAGCAACACTTTTATAAACAAAGAACTTTCTGAGCTTATAGAATCTGTTCTGATTCATCTGTGCCCCAACAAACTTTACCCTATTTTTTTTTTTTGAGACGGAGTCTCGCTTTGTCACCCAGGCTAGAGTGCAGTGGCCGGATCTCAGCTCACTGCAAGCTCCGCCTCCCAGGTTCACGCCATTCTCCTGCCTCAGCCTCCCAGGTAGCTGGGACTACAGGCGCCGCCACCTCGCCTGGCTAGTTTTTTGTATTTTTAGTAGAGATGGCGTTTCACCATGTTAGCCAGGATGGTCTCGATCTCCTGACCTCGTGATCCGCCCGTCTCGGCCTCCCAAAGTGCTGGGATTACAGGCGTGAACCACCGTGCCCGGCCAAACTTTACCCTATTTTTAAGAGTCATCTTGCGAACAGCCTCAAAGGTGCATCAGAATGACAACAGGAACAAGAAGAATTATTAGGGCACGAAGTATCGGGAGATCTGGGGCCATATATCTATAGTGCGCAGTGTTCACTGCCCAGGATGTCTCAGACAATCACAGTTTTCCAGAAATGATTTCGGTAATTGGAGTTTTCCTTCCCAAGACAAGGCATTTTAGGGAATAGTGTCCCATATCCGTGGAGTTTGCGTCACGTAGTCACTATATTCATAGACTGCTTTAGGTACTTACAGAGCAAAAGATATCAGTCCTGCAATGCTGCCATTAACGTGCCTTTGTTTGCTTCACTGGAGATGAAATTCTGCTGCAGGTGTTTCCCACGGTTCCGTATGACCCGTCATTTAGCGAAACAACAGCAGTCCGATCCATTACAAAGACAGACATGAGAAAAGGCAAGTGTATGCCGTTAACACAGTAAGTGCACACATTTCTGTAGGCCTGTGTGTTGTCTTCAATGTGCTATTATCATCCTAGCAGTCTCTAAACCAGCTGCTGGTGGGGCAAAGCCAAATGGAGATAGGAAGGAAACAACTGTCTGAAATCCTCTCTGTAACCTTCCCCCGGCTGTGGAGTCTGTGCTCCGAAGCGTGACTATCCCTGTATTTTGGGGTGATCCTTGATGTGCAGTGTTAGGCAGGTTCTGCCACCCTGGAGGTATTCAGAGGACAGAAACCTGATCTGCAAGCGGGGTTCCCCGTTCCCGACAACAGGAGCCCCTAGCAGCATCATAACTTTCAACCCAACACACGAATCCTAAGTGCACAATGTGCTTTGAGAGGGTTAGTGCAGTCATTAATACCCCATTCAGTGGATGATAAAACAAGACTAAAAAATGACTTAGCTTAGGCACACCCAGAGAAATGGCACATGTGAAGAGCGCACTCTTTCCCAAAAAGCAGCTTCATATTAGGGGAAACATTTAGCACGTTGGGAATTAAGATAGGTGTCTGCTCACAATAATAAGGATAGAATAGCGTACTGGAAATCTGCCAGCTGTGGGTGCAAGTGCCCCAGGCAGGGAGGGGGAACGGGCACTGTGTTGGTATTCTGCAGACAGATGTTTGCGCCCCACTTCCTGAGGGTAGTCTCCCTGAGGGTAGTCCAGGACAACTGCCTGGGCACCTCTGCAGTCGGCAGTGAGGCGGCCCCGCTCTCTACATCAAGGCATTCACTTTCAAACACACATTTGCTCTTACAAGTTGAGTTCTATATTAGCATTTCAACTTAGAAATGGAAAACAAGGTCAGGTGCGGTGGCTCACGCCTGTAATCCCAGCACTTTGGGAGGCCAAGGTGAGTGGATCACTTGAGGTCAGGAGTTCGAGGCCAGCCTGACCAACATGGCGAAACCCTGTCTCTACTAAACATACAAAAAATTAACTGGGCATGGTGGCGCATGCCTGTAGACCCAGCTACTTGGGAGGCTGAGACATGAGAATCACTTGGACCCGGGAGGTGGGGTCGTGCCACTGCACTCCAGCCTGGGTGACAGCGAGACTCTGTCTCAAAAGACAAAAAAACAAAAAACGGAATACAAAATATGGGCCCAAGGTGCTTGCAAATGTGTACTGATGAAGATCCTTTTTCTTCTTTTTTTTTTTTTCATGTGTCTTATCAAAGCAACCAGTGTTGCTTGGAATTCTCCTGAACCAGAATATTTCCTTGGCAGTGTGGACAAAATTCCCGATAAAGGTAAATGCAAATGCATAAAATTGGAATTGAGGGTTGATAAGTCGTCGTTCTTCTCCCCCCCCTTTTTTTTTTCAATGGAGTCTCGCTCTGTCACCCAGGCTGAAGTGCGGCGGCACAATCTCGGCTCACCGCAAGCTTCGCCTCCCAGGTTCACGCCATTCTCCTGCCTCAGCCTTCCGAGTAGCTGTGACTATGGGCGCCCGCCACCACGCCTGGCTAGTTTTTTGTATTTTTTAGTAGAGACAGGTTTTTACTGTGTTAGCCAGGATGGTGTCGATCTCCTGACCTCATGACCCACCCGCCTCGACCTCCCAAGGTGCTGGGATTACAGGTGTGAGCCACTGGGCCGGCCCCTCTTTTTCCTCTTACCTGAGTTCAGAGCTGAGGGTCTGGCAGATGATGCTCAGACTCTCTTGTAGAGAGACACCTGTACTTGGCTGCACAACGTGGGTGCTTCACCCTGAACTAGGAAGAGTTCCCCAATCACTGGTAAGGTTTTGGATACCCATGGTTTCCCCAGATCCCCCTCTGTGCGAGTCTGCTTCTGTGATATGTACAGCATGGAGGAGCAGATCAGAATGTTTATTCTCTGCAGGCAGACAGATGCTAGCCAGGAGGGAGAGAGAGCAGGCCACAGACAGCTGGTGCCTCCTCCCAAACTGACCTGGGCAGGTCCTTTCCCCCCTGGGGTGGTGGGGCTGGGCAGGGGCTGAGCACATTGGTGAGGTGCTGCCCCAGAGGGATTCTCCCCTCCTCCTCAGGTGTGTGGGAAAGCGCTGCCTCTAGCCAGGAGCAGAGGCTCATCTGAGCGATCTGATCAGGCTGGAGGGAGACTGGCTCCGAAGACAGGATGAACAGCTAGAATCCGTGAAGCATTTCTCCCCTAGAAAGACTTAAAAGATTTAAAAGAAAAAAACCAGGCCAAATAGGTCACTGTCTGAGCTGGGAAATACATGGTCTTTGCAGGATTATGTACCTGGCCAGGGGTTCCCGGGCCGCACCGTGCATCAGCCAGAGGTAGGGACTAGGGAATGGGAAGAGCTGATTAAAAATCCTTATTCCTGGCCGGGCGATGTGGCTCCCCTGAAGTCAGGAGTTCGAGACCAGCTACTCGGGAAGCTGAGGCAGGAGAATTGCTTGAACCCGGGAGGCAGAGGTTGCGGGGAGCCGAGATCGCGGCACTGCACTCCAGCCTGGGCAACAAGAGCGAAACTCCGTGCTGAGATTATAGGCGTGAGCCACCGTGCCTGAAAAGAGTATGTTTTCATGTCTTGTCGGACTAGTTCCCCTTTTGCAGTTTTTGTTTTTTCATTGTCTTCCTGGCTATTTTTGCATGTTTGTTTTTCCATGTGAACTTTAGCATCAACTTGTCTAACTTCATCCAAAGGCTTTCGGTATTCTGACTGGCATTGCCTCAAATTTATACGACAATATTCACTTTGGGAAAACAGATGTTAGGTCATCCTATGCTAGAAATGGGAATGCCTTTCCAGTTCTTCAAGTTTATTTTCAGTGTGTGTTAAAGTTTTCCTTACATAGATTTTTACATGTATCTTCTTAAGTTTATTCCTAAGTCACTTAATTTTCTATGTTGCTATTGTAAGAGAGGGGGTTTCTCTATCATTATACCTTCTACCTACTTAATGTTTGGAAATAGGAAGGCTTGCTTTTTGGATATGAATTTTATGTCCTATTGCCTTATTCAATTCTACATATACTGTTATATAGATAGTTTTACTTCTTTTTTTTTTTTTTGAGATGGAGTCTCACTCTGTTGCCCAGGCTGGAGTGCAGTGGCATGATCTCAGCTCACTGCAACCTCCGCCTCCCAGGTTCAAGCGATCCTCCTGCCTCAGCCTCCCGAGTAGCTGGGACTACAAGCACGCGCCACCATGCCCAGCTAATTTTTGTTAGAGACAGGGTTTCACCATGTTGGCCAGGCTGGCCTCCAACTCCTGACCTCAGGTGATCTGCCCTCCTTGGCCTCCCAAAGTGCTGGGATTACAGGTATGAGCCACCATGCCCAGCCAGTTTTACACCTTTACCTATTGTTATGCCTCTACCTGATTTATTTATCATGTTTAATTGCATTGCTAATACCTCTAGGTTAATCTTGAGTGGTTGCTGGAGATACAGTGGGCATCCTGCTTTGTTCTTGCTCTTGGAGAAAATGCCTCTTGAGTTTCCTGATTAAGAGTCTGGTTATAGGACTAATATGAATAAGAGATTATCTGTATATCTATCCTTCCGTCTACACACATACATGTAAATATATACGCATACATATATTTATACTGAAAATGATAATGTATCTGTCCAAAAAATACTTTTGGGTATTTTTTTCTGTTTCTATGAGTTGAGTTACTTTAGATATCTCATGTAAGTTGAATCATACAGTATTTGTCTTTTTGTGCTTGGTTTAGTTCACATAGTATAATGTCCTTAAGGTTAATCCATGTTGTAGCATATGACAGAATTTCCTTTCCTTTTAAGGCTGAATAATATTCTATTGTATGTATATACCATATTTTCTTTATTCATTTATCTGTTGTTGGACACTTGGGTTGCTCTCATGTCTTGGTTATTGTAAATAATGCTGCAATTGGCCAGGCTTGGTGGCTCAAGCCTGTAATCCCAGCACTTTGGGAGGCCAAGACGGACGGATCACGAGGTCAGGAGATCGAGACCATCCTGGCTAACACGGTGAAACCCCATCTCTACTAAAAAAATTACAAAAAATTAGCCGGGCGTGATGGCGGGTGCCTGTAGTCCCAGCTACTCAGGAGGCTGAGGCAGGAGAATGGTGTGAACCCAGGAGGCAGAGCTTGCAGTGAGCTGAGATCCAGCCACTGCACTCCAGCCTGGGCGACAGAGCGAGACTCCGTCTCAAAAAAAAAAAAAAAAAAATAACACTGCAATGAATATGGGTATGCAAATATCTCCAAGATCCTGTTTTCAATTCTTTAGGATATATATCCAGAAGTGGGATTGTGGGGTCATATGGTAAATCTATCTTTAATTTTTTGAGGAACCTCCGTATTGTTTCCATAGCAGCTGCACTGTTTTACATTCCCACCAATATTTGCAAGAGTTCCCATTTCTTCACATCCTTACTAACATTTGTTATGACGTATTTGCTTGAGTATTTAAAAAATCAGGAATAGGTGGGTGTTGAATTTTTGGAACTAATCATATGATTCTTTTCCTTAAGTCTATTAAGATTATATATATGATAATAATGAATTTCCTAATGTCAAACCAACCTTGCATTCCTAGAATAAATTCTACTTGGTCATAGTGAGGCTTGGAGAGTCCAGTCACTGCTCAGGAATCTTGGGCTTGGGCCCAGCTTTTTCCTCTGCTTCAGCACATCTGCGTTGTCACTCAGACTGGCAGAGGACTGGGAGGGAGCCTTAGGGTTCCTTCAGCCACCAAGAAAGCAGCAGGTCCTTGTATAGATATGTAGACTGAGCCATGATTTATAACTTTTAATTATTGATGCATATGGTAGATGTTTCTCCATTTGTATTCTTTTTCAATTTTTAAAAATTATTATAGAATACACATAATATGAAATTTTACCATCTTAACCATTTTTGAGGGCACAGTTCAGTGGTATTAAATACATTCATAATGTACGACCATCACCAACATTCATCTCCAGAACTCTTTTCATCTTATAAAACCAAAACTCTTTACGCATTAAATAATAACCATCCATTCCCCCATCTCTGCATCCCCTGGCAACCACCGTTCTACTTTCTGTTGATTTTGACTACTTTAAATATCTCACGTAAGTGCAATCATACAGTATTTGCCTTTTTGTTACTGACATTTCATTTTGCATAATGTCCTCAAGATTCATCCATGTTGTGGCATATTTCAGAATGTTCTTTCTTTTTGAAGCTGAGTAATATTCCATTGTGTGTCTTTACCATGTTTTGTTTACTCACTTATCCCTTGATGGCTATTTGGGTTGCTTCCACATTTTAGCCTTGTGAATCATCCTGTTATGAACATGGATGTACAAATAATTCTTTGAGACCTTGCTTTCAGTTATTTTGGGTACATACTGAGAAGTGAAATTGCTGGATGATATGGTGATTTTGGTTTTAATTTTCTGAGGAACTGCCATACTGTTTCCCATCATGGCAGTAACAGTTTACATTCCTACCAACAGCACACAAGGGTTTCAGTTTCTCCACATCCTTGCCAACACGTGTTATTTTCTTTTTGTTTGTTTTTTTGAGACAAAAGTCTCACTCTGTAGCCCGGGCTAGAATGCAGTGGCATAATTGATCTCAGTTCACTGCAGCCTCCGCCTCCCAGTTTCAAGCGATTCTCCTGCTTCAGCCTCCCAAGCCTCCCAAGTAGCTAGAACTACAGGCACGTGCCACTGCACCAGGCTAATTTTTTATATTTTTTAGTAGAGATGGGAATTCACCATATTGGACAGGCTGGCCTTGAACTCCCAACCTCAGGTATTCCACCTGCCTTGGCTTCCCAAAGTGCTAGGATTACAGGCATGAGTGGCCGCACCCAGCCTATTTTCTGTTTTTTTGATAGTAGCCATCCTAATGGATATGAGGCGGTATTTCATTGTAGTTTTGGTTTGCAATTCCCTAATGATTACTGATGTTGAGCATCCTTTGAAGTTCTATTTGCCATTTGTATATCTTCTTCGGAAAAATGTCTATTCAAGTTCTTTGCCTATTTTGGAATCAGTTGTTTATATTTTTGTGTTTTGTTGGGTGTCAGGAGTTCTCTTTGTAGTCTGGGTATCATTCCCTTACCAGATAAACAATTTGCAAATGTTTTCTCCCATTCTGGGTGGGGTACCTTTTTATTCTGTTGACACTGTCTTTTGATGCACAGAATTTTAAAATTTGCTTAAAGTCCAATTTGTCGATTTTTTCTTTGGTGGCCTGTGCCTTTGGTATCAAACCCAAGAAATAATTTCCGAATCCAATGTCATAAAGTTTCTGCCCTACGTTTTCCTCTAAAAGTATTTATAGTTCTAGGCATTACGTTTAGGTCTTTGGTCCACTGTGAGTTAAATTTTGTTTATGGTGTTGGATAAGGATCTAACTTTATTATTTTGCATGTGGGTATCCTGTTTTCCTAGTACCATTTGTTAACCTATTAAAATTATTGTGCTGGGGCCGGGCGCGGTGGCTCAAGCCTGTAATCCTAGCACTTTGGGAGGCCGAGACGGGCGGATCACGAGGTCAGGAGATCGAGACCATCCTGGCTAACATGGTGAAACCCCGTCTCTACTAAAAAATACAAAAAACTAGCCGGGCGCGGTGGCGGGCGCCTATAGTCCCAGCTACTCGGGAGGCTGAGGCAGGAGAATGGCGTAAACCCGGGAGGCGGAGCTTGCAGTGAGCTGAGATCGGCCACTGCACTCCAGCCTGGGCGACAGAGCGCGACTCCGTCTCAAAAAAAAAAAAAAAAAAAAAAAAAAAAAATTATTGTGCTGGTTTTGCAAATGTTAGGTGTGGTCTGCCCAGGTATGTATATTACAGTGCCAAGATACCTCTGCCCCTGAATAATGTACCTTCACCCTTGAATAAGAAAATGCCCCTGAATAATTTACCTTCATCCCTGAATAATCATTGTTCAAGTAAAATTAAAAGATATGCTTGGGGAATAGAAAGCCTACTATCTAGCTTGATCTTTTGATTTCTAAAACTGTTTCTTCAGTCCATTGCTTTCACATAATTTTACTTTCAAATCTTTATTTTTCCTTCAGGAGGAACCAGGACAACATTTTTTTTCTTTTCTTTTCTTTTCTTTTTTTTGAGATGGAGTCTCACTCTGTCATCCAGGCTGGAGTGCAGTGGCACAGTCTCAGCTCATTGCAACCTCTGCTTCCCAAGTTCAAGTGATTCTCCTATCTCAGCCTCCCGAGTACCTGGGACTACAGGCGCACACTACCGTGACTGGCAGTCTTAGCTAGCAAGACAGGTTTAGCAGGGTGGCTCTGACTCAGAGTCGAGGTTACAGTCGAGATTCTTCCAGATTCATTCTCTCACTCAAGACCTAACTACTGATCTCTCCTACCCAGCGGGAGGTACTGTGCTGGAAGCTAGTACTCAGTGAGGCATTCTTGTCCTCCAAGAGCTCCCCAGAGCTCTTAGGAGAGTCAATCGAATCAATAAATAACTGTTAGATATAAACATGCTAACACTGAAGGTCTTTTAAAAGTGCTTACGTTGTATTTGCACAGACTTCTGGGAGAACAAGAGGCTGATCTCCTTAATAGGGTTTTTCCAAGTAGGAAGAGTGAGGGAAGAAGAGGGCTGAGAAGAACCCGCAGGCAGTGACAAAGCTCATGTCTGCCACCTGAGAGGACTGATCAGATCCATCTTCAGAGGGTGGGAGCTGCTCTCAGGCTACTCCACAGGGACAGTAAATTCTAGACCACACTGCACCTCCTCCTTGGCAGCAGTGACCATTCAAAAAAAAAAGAAAAGAAAAGAAAAAGGAAAAAAGTCTGGGTGTGGTGGCTCACGCCTGTAATCCCAGCACTTTGGGAGGCCGAGGCAGGTGGATCAGCTGAGGTCAGGAGTTCGAGATCAGCCTGACCAACATGGTGAAACCTCATCTCTACTAAAAATACAAATGTTAGCTGGGCGTGGTAGTGTATCCCTGTAATCACAGCTACTTGGGAGGCTGAGGTAGGAAAATCGCTTGAACCTGGGAGGCGGAGGTTGCTGTGAGCCGAGATGGTGCCACTGCACTCCAGCCTGGGGGACAGAGTGAGTCTCCGTCTCAAAAAAAAAAAAAAAAAAATTCAATGGTCAAAAACATCTGGATAGGAGGAGGAGTGGGGAAATGACCATTCTGAGAAGTGAAGTGTCTTGTAAAAGGTGTGCCCAGGTCTGTGGACAGCAGCTGTAGCTCTCGATGATCGTACGTCCACTGAATGGAATGTAGCATCAGTCCTAGCAATAACATGCTGTTAACTTGTAACCAAAGGCTCACGTCAATGTTAGAGTCTCCAAAACACAGAGAAGTATGAAGATGTAAGACTTCAACTTTTCCTTGAGCACAAAGTCAAACTGTCTTGGTTCTGCACTCCTTTAAGAAGGTTTTCACCAAGCCCAGCACATGCTTGATTGGCAGCTTGGGTTGAGCGTACAGCATGGAAGGACGGGAGAATTGCTCTTGTAATGGGCGGCTGCTCCTGTCATAGTTAATAGTTGTAAAGTTGAAAAGAAGTCTGGAAATGAAACTGTTGGTTAAAAATTTGATAATTATGCTTATTTTTTCCCACAAAAAAATAATCCAACAATTGATCAAATGCAACCCATCAAACGTAAAAGACGCCTTCAGACTCTTCATAGAACCTTAGGTAAATGAAAACTTCGTCCATACTGACGATAAGAATAGGCAGTGGCTCTTAATTCTGTCGTCTTTTGCCTCCGGTAGAGAAAGAGTGAAAATGTGTTCCCATGTCAGGTCTACCATTGCTACAGCTCTGTGGAAGAGCAAGCCGAGCGCGCTCCCTAGTGGATAACTCTAGGCTCGCCAGGGCTTTCTGTCTGCGGCTGTTAATCTCTGGATTCCGATTTGACATGTTGCATTTCAAAAGTCAAGTTAATTATCAGTCTTATTAAAGTGGGAGTTTTCTCTCTTTTCTAAGCCAAGTTGAAGAAGGAACACATTTCTCTCTTTTTTTTCAGGAATAACTAGAACTTAATGAGACTGTTATCAGACACCCACATGGTAGTCTTAATCATATTGTGATAATTTTCTGTTATTTTATTTTATTATTTTGTTTAATTTTATTATTCTTTTGAGACAGGGTCCTGCTCTGTTATCTGGGCTGGAGTGTAGTGGTGTGGTTATAGCTCTCTGCAGCCTTGATCTCCTGAGTTCAAGCCATCTGCCTATCTCAGCCTTTCTAGTAGCTGGGACTACAGGTGTGTGCCACCATGCCCAGCTAATTATTTTTTTTTTAGTTTTTAGTAGACATGAGGTCTTGCTATGTTCCCCAAGCTGGCCGCAAACTCTTATTGTGACAATTCTCTCTCTCTCTGTGAACGAGGCCAAGGAAGATTTACCAGACTCATCCAAAGCTGCCTTGCCCCGCTTCCAGCCCTTGGAGGTCTCCCATCTGGGGCTGGGGGCTCCAGCCTGTTTTGGTGTCTTCTAGGGTGTGAGATTCATTACTTCTTATCCTTTCCCATTCTCTCTTTGATAGCTCACTTTCTAACCGCTAAACAGTCCAAACAGATTTCCCTGGAGCGCCTACCCATTGGTTCTAGTTTGTTCCCCAGAGCTTCTCCAAACATCTCTCAGCCTCTTCCCAGGCCATCCTGCGTCTGGCAAAGGCAGGCAGGCCGTGCTGGCCTCCCAGTTTTCTCCAAGCTGAACTCAGGCCCTTTGACAGGTCCCATATGCCAACGAGTCAGGCACCAAACGGCAAAGCTAGGATGCAAATATTTCTCATTTTCTTTTTTTTTTTTTTTTTTTTCTTTTGTTTTTTGAGACGGTGTTTTGCTCTGTCCTCCAGGCTGGAGTGCAATGGCGCGATCTCCGCTCACTGCAAGCTCCGCGTCCCGGGTTCACGCCATTCTCCTGCCTCAGCCTCCCGAGTAGCTGGGACTACAGGTGCCTGCCACCTTGCCCGGCTAATTTTTTTTGTATTTTTAGTAGAGACGGGGTTTCACCGTGTTAGCCAGGATGGTCTCGATCTCCTGACCTCGTGATCCGCCCGCCTCAGCTTCCCAAAGTGCTGGGATTACAGGCTTGAGCCACCGCGCCCGGCCATATTTCTCATTTTTGACTGTCTTCTTTCTATTAAACTATTCTGCAATCCGTCTACCAATACCTGAGTATTTCAGTGTGGTTAATTTTCCTATCTTGTCCTTGCAACTCAAGAAAATTTTTATAGTACTTTGTGGTTTCAAAATTATTTTCATGAACATTATACAATCTGTGAGGTAGGTCTTACTATCTCTATTTTATGCAAGTGGAGAAGTAGGTTGGGGCTTAGAGAGGTTCTCACTTGGGTCCTCTAAGCGTGGTCCTCTACCCACAGAAGCAGCATCTTTCAGGATCTGTGAGACACGCACATTCCCAGGCCTACCCCAGACCTACGGAATCAGAAACTGGGGTGGGGCCTGGGAATCTGTGTTTTCAAAAGCCCTCCCAGTGTGATTCAGATGCACACTTAAGTGTAAGAAATGCTGCCTCAGCTGTGGGTGGGTTGCCCAGGACTTTGTTAGATTTTTAAAAAAGTAAACAGAAACAAAAAAACACGAAAACACAGAGGTTCTGTAGGCTTTATTTAGACTTTTCCCCCCAAATCCTCCCTAACTCCTCACTTTGAGTCTAGAAGAAGCTACTTTTATCATAAATGCTGAACTAATCACAGGCTGTGGTTGGTTGTAGATGAACACATTTTATCTTTTGTAGATCACCTTTCAGAGGAGAAGAGGTTTAAAGAATCCTCTCTGTTCGACAGGGATTTAAGAGAGCAGTTAACTACTGTAGATAAAGAAACACTTCAAGGAGCAGCTAAATCAGGTGGGAATCTATATGGTATAAACCAAGTATGATGCTTAAATACAGACAACTTCTGAATGTGTCTTTTGCCTTTCATGGTATTTTAACTGACACCTTTATTTCACCCGCAAAAGTGAAATAAATCTGCCGTGAATACAATCTGCAGTTAAAATTTATGAATTAAACCAACTCCAGAGGTTGGGCGTGGTGGCTCACGCCTGTAATCCCAGCACTTTGGGAGGTCAAGGTAGGCGGATCACCTGAGGCCAGGAGTTCGAGACTACCCTGGCCAACATGGTAAAACCCCGTCTCTACTAAAAATACAAAAGAAAAAATTAGCTGGGCGTGGTGGCAGGTGCCTGTAATCCCAGCTACTCGGGAGGCCGAGGCAGTTCAAGAATCACTTGAACCCGAGAGGTGGAGACTGCAGTGAGCTGAGATTGCACCAGTGCACTCCAGCCTGGGCAATAAGAGCGAGACTCCATTTAAAAAACAACAAACAAACAACAAACAACCGAACTCCAGGAATTTCACCACTCTTCCAGAAAGATGCTACTTTTATATTGTTTCTGCACAGCCAAGGCTTCACCCTGGCTCATCCCTGTGCCCAGACCTGTTTAGAGTGGGCAGAAACTCACCCATGCTGGCACCAAGTGCAGTACACCCCTCCACACTGCCACTCCCTGTCAAAATTATACCTGGTTGTCGCTTCCTAATGCTTAGAAACTAAATGCCGAATCATTGCAGCAGAGCCTTAGAGCTGCTGGATACGCTGCCCCTTGGCATAGCAGAGCTGAAGGTGGGAGGCTGGACATGCCCTGTTTTCTCCCCATCACCAAGAAGACCCTTGCTCAGCACTCCCCGTGTCTACATCACCGGCTGCCCTGGACAGCTCTCCACACGAAACCAGCCGATACCTGGGATCCTACCTCCATGCCCGATTTCCCTGATGTCGTTTTCTTTTTTGGTCACATTATAAATGGGGTGACAGAAGCTCTAGGAGACGCCGATGTGGGCTGAGATCTCCTTGCTTTGAGATCTGGCTAAGACTGCCGTGTTTTCCCCAGCCTGTGCTCGGGGAATGGTATTCCCATCCACTCTCACAGTTTCTGTGAGTCCTCAGAGGGGCTCAGGAGTTCAGGATCATCCGTGGCGTTGTGTTTGCCTCGTGCTGGTGCAGAGGTGAGGTCCCCCAAACCTACACCCACGAGGCGGACTGTGTATGCAGTACCCCTTCCTGAGGCCAGGGGGCAGAGGAGGGGCAGCAGAGAAGAGGTTCTATCGCTGCTTGTGAAAAGCTGCAAACGGAATATTTGCCTCCATTGTTCTTAAAAGCCTTTGCAGTCGGATTTCTCAACCTCCTCTAGTGCCCCCGCCTCCTCTCACCCACCTGAGCTCTCCTCTGTCCTTCTCTTTACCTCTTACAAACTGGTCTGTGGAACTTTATTTCTGGTTGCTTTGTTGTGTGCCAGCCCATACCCTCAGTGTCTCATCTCCACCTCCCAAAAGCATCTCATCTTATCGCCAAATAGCAGATGAATGCATTTCCCCAAACAGCTGGTTCCTTCCCAAGAGGACTTCTGGAACCAGTGGCTAAGGTGCCAAGGTTTTTATTCTGTTATGAATGGAATGAACAGGTGTCCCTTGCAGGTTTAGTCCTGGTGGTGGGTGGCCCAGCGGGGATCTCTGTTCACTCTGCACTGTGTCTTCTCATTTAGATGCTCACTTTAGGACTATGCCCTGCAGGCAGCTTCTGCATTTCCTGCAGAGGAACACCATCATCGCCGCCATCTCCGGGGTGATCATCCTCACGGCCACCGTGCTGTTGCTGCTTGGTTTGGCCTCATACATCAGGAAGAAACAGCCATCGTGAGTAGTGCTGGCATGGCCTTCCTTCCAAGAACCTGCGGGTATTTGAACTCACGCTGCCCCCGGGGCTTCCTGCTGATCTGGTTTAGGAGGAGGGCAGAAGCTGCAAGCCTGGTTGTGCTTCAGCATCCCCTGGCCTGCTCTGTCAAAGCACACAGGACCTGGGCCATGGGTTTTAGGCACAGCCTGGGTGATTCTGATGCACAGCTGGGTTTGGGGATCCCTGGGTGGGCCAGGGTTGCCTCTCAAGGCCACTGCAGTTAGGCCAGACCTGTCCCCATATTGAGGGCTCTGGCTGAAAGATTGGTAAATAGAAATATGGATTTACAAAAGAAAGGAAAAACACAAATCTAAGAGGGCGAGGAGGGCTGAAGCCACGAAGGAAAGTGAGAGCAGGGCTGATATTCAGCACATTCACACTGACACAGCTGCCCTGCTTGTTAGAATACTGAAAGCCTTCCCTGAGCTTCCCACTGACCTCCTGATCTTCTCCGTGCTCCTGCAAATGTAGGGTTAGTGCCTGGCACAGCTGTGGCCCTCCAAGGCTCTGCTTCAGTGGTGGTCATTTTGACCGGTCAGTGCCTGTCTACACCAGTTGTTAAATATTTTGGTTAGGCCTCTAGATGAGGGGGCTCAGGCACAGAGGCACTCACCATGTGCAGGCACTAGAAAGCAAATGGTTTGCACGGTGATGTGTATGCATAGCTGCATTTTGAGATTATGTGCTTCTTGCTGCATCCCCGGGGACACGTATTCCTGACCGCAGAAGGAAGAGCAGCTCCCCACAGTCCCTCAGGTCCTGCCCAACACCGGGCTGAACGCTCAGCTTGCCCCTAGAGCAATGGGGTGGAGGCGTGTGATGAGGGGAAGTGTCCGTCCCCACCGCTACTCACCCTCTGACTCCAGAGGTAGCAGTGTTTGAATTTTCCCACAAGAGTGGCATTGCTTTTCCTCCATGCCAAGGTTCCTGGGACTGGTGATCCATTCAGGCCACCTCCCCCCCCATCCCCACCTCCAGCATCCTCTTCCTACCAAGGCTCATCCATTGGACCTGCCATTTTCCCTCCATGCCCCTTGAGATGCCAGCAGAAGTGGTTAGAACTGTGGCCCCATCCCATAGGGACCAGTCAAAGCTGTGAATAGCCTGAGTTAGTTAAGAGAAGGTGGGGGGAAGAGAGTTTCCCAGAGGCTCTGTGCTGCCCAGAGGTAAAAAGAATTTCACAGATGACAAACCCTACTGATGGGAAGCAGAATCCTCACCCTGGGAAGCGCCAGCCTCCACCACTGCCCAGCGAGTAGACGGCAGGAGCTCCTGTGCACTGAGTTGAGCACCATGGTTTTTATTGTTTTGTTTTAGATCTCCTCCGGCAAACACGACATATAATATTTTTATAATGAATGGAAAGACATGGTGGCAAAATTCTGAAGAAAAAAATTTCACAAAATATACAAAAAAAGAGAAACAGTTGAAGAGCAGCTCCTGTGTCTAAGCCAGGTCGCGGGGCAGTCAAACCAGGACTTGAAACCACGATGCGAGGACATTTCTCCATCCACACACCACAGGGAGGCAATTCCATTTCTGCCCCGGGAGGTGTATTCTACAAAAACGTCTGCTTCCCGTCCCAATTTGAATGGACCAAGAAAAACTGCTTTGCCACAGGACACCTGTGGCAACATGGCACCGATGGCCGGCGTCGGTGAACCCAACAGACTATGGACTTATCATTTAATAAAGCATTGATTCATTTATTCAGTCATTCATGGAACAGATATTAATAGACCACCTCACATGCTGACAATATCAAAATACAATGAGGAAACTTAAGAGTGACCCAGATATGCATTCTGTCCCGAGCAAGATCACAGTCCAGGGTGTGAACACAACCACATTAAACAGCTTTTATGGGAGGCGGGAGTACAGAAAGTTTTGTATCTACAAAGAAACTGCTAAGAATTGTGGAAGCTCCCCACGAGGTGATTTCCTGCTTGCATGACCAGGAAGAAGAAATGGGGTAATTGAGAGTGTCATGAATTGGGGTTATTTATTTATTTATTGATTGAGTTGGAGTCTCGCTCTGTCACCCACGCTGGAGTGCAGTGGTGCAATCTTGGCTTGCTGCAACCTCTGCCTCTGGGTTCCAGTGGTTCTCCTGCCTCAGCCTCCTGAGTAGTTGGGGTGACAGCTACGTGCCACCATGCCTAGATAATTTTTGTATTTTTAGTAGAGACGGGGTTTCACCGTGTTAGCCAGGATGGTCTCGATCTCCTGACCTCGTGATCCACCCGCCTCGGCCTCCCAAAGTTCTGGGATTACAGGCATGAGCCACCACACCTGGCTGAAGTGGGGTTATTTATAAAGCTGTGATCAGGGTTAAGGGAAACTGATGAAGAGTGGCGAGGCACCTGGAGCGAGTGGGAGCGGGAGCTGATGTCATTAGGGGAGGGGCAGGTACAAAAATCTAGAGAACTCAAGAGCCTCTGACAGGCTGTAACCTTTGGTGGAGGAACAGGGACACATTGGAACCACTCAACAGGGAGAGATCAGGGCGATGAACACCCTGAATGCCTGCTCTTGGAGCCCTTTGATCTCCTGCAAGTGAATTCCATTGGCCATACGTATGGCCACTTACCAGGATGACTTTCCTCAATGCACAGTCACCATAGTAAGTGGCCACAGGTTCCCTTGGGGATGACTGAGAGAAAGATGAACAGTGTACATTTTTGACAGTGTAGTAGGGCTCTTCCTCAAGGAGATCCAACCTCCCCATCATTTAATGGGTTTGGGGTATATAACCTAGCTCATGTCTGGGAAATAATTGAGGGACTGTTACTCTCTATTTTGCTAATTCAAGTTAGATGTCTAATTATACAACATGGAACTCTGCTTGCACAGATCAAGTCAGAATTTAGTAGATTGCTTATCTACTTTTCTAGGGACATCATGATCAACTAGACAGTGCCAAAGGTCCCTGTGAGTTCGACTATTCTGGCTAACATTTTGACACCACTGTTCATAGCAGCAACCATATCCACCTTGCCTTTGACAATAAGTATGGCCACTCAGACCTCACGGTCCTGGGATCCAACTATCTGCATTGCATTTTGGGATCCCAGTTTGATGGTAGCCGTTCCCATTGTCATTTCTGACCTGCAGAAAGGAATTACTACAGAGCTCTCAAGGACTCTGGAGCCCTCCTCACCAATTTATTTCTCATAGTCATGATAAAAGGTGTATTGTTTGGACCCTTCCAGGGTGGGTGACAGGTCTTACATGATAAATCCACTCTAATATTCCAGATTCCTTAAGTCTTTGGGTCCCTTCCTCTACAGTATTAGAGTTCTGGCATTTCAACTTCATTTACTGTGGGTTATCTTTGAACTCATGTTTTAGATAACCAACCAAATGGAGCCCTTTCTAATCCCTCCAGCTAAAACACGGAGCCCAGAACCTCTGCTCAATGGGCTCATACCAATAAATGCAGCCTGATACAATGCCATGTTCCTTCCATCATTACCCCACATCCTTATATCTACGTCTATGCACATTCCTGACATTTACATCAGTATACATTAGAAAAATCATGCCGTTCTTTCAGTGCGTAGTGTACCTTTTATTGTATGGGGTGCTTTATTCCCCACTCTTTGGGACCTGCTGGAACTTGAGTCTAGTTATGTGTCTAGAAGCAAAGAGGAGTGGTAGAAGTGGGTCCTGGGGAGAATTGGTGGGGTCTTGTTAGAGGACCTTAGGAGAGGCCATTACAGGGTTCTACAGAAAAATCAGGGTTCACCACCTCAGAGAGGGTGGAAGGGCTACTTCTGCTGGCAAACAAGACTCAGCAGAATTTAGGGGTTTGATACCCCCAACTTCACTGGGATCTTCCCATATGTCCTCATTCCAGTTTTTTAGAATACCATTCTTTTTCAGTCAGTTCTCTCACTTTAACACAAGACCAGTCTGCAAGGCTAGGCATTCAGGTGGATTGCAGTTCAGTCGCTTTGGGTTTGGTTTTCAGAAATGTCAGCCCTGCAGCTACAGGAGATAAGGATTTCTTTCAGGACAGACATAGGAATCTTTCTGTCTTGTCTTGTCTTGTCTGTCTGTCTCTCTTGTCTGTCTGTCTTGCCTGTCTTTCTTTCTTTCTTTCTTTCTTTCTTTCTTTCTTTCTTTCTTTCT